AACTCTCCAAGGGCTTCCTTTCTCATTCAGAATAAAAACCAAAGTCTTTACGATGTGCCCATACAGCCTTATCCAACCTGATTGCTGACACTGTGTCCTCCTTCTCCTAGTGAAGTTCCCTCTATTGCTACCATACTGCCCTTCCTGACATTCCTTAGACACTACAGCCACACTCGCTATCCATGGCCTTTGCACTTGTTGTTCCCACCGCCTGGAACTTTCTCCTTCAAATGCCCTGTGGCTTGTTATCCCCCACCCAGCCCTCCAGTCCTTACTCAAATGTACCTTGTCAGTAAGGAATTCTCTGCCAAGCCTTCTTAAAGGTGCAGCTACCTCTGCCCTGTCTCTCTTCTCTGCTCTATTTTATCCAAAAGGATAAAGTGTCTCCTCATCTGCCGGCTGCAGTGTCTCATGCCTGTAATACTCGTACTTTGGGAGGCCGAGATGGGCAGATTGCTTGAGGTCAGGAGGTCAAGACCAGCATGGCCAACATGGTGAAACCCTGTCTCTACTAAAACTATAAAAATTAGCCAGGCGTGGTGGCATGCACCTGTAATCCCAGCTACTTGGCAGGAGAATTGCTTGAACCCAGGAGGCAGAGGTTGCAGTGAGCCAAGATCGCGTCACTGCACTCCAGCGTGGGTGATAGAGCAAGACTTGGTCTCAAAAAACCGAAAAACATTAAATGCCTTCCTGAATGAATTTTCTTTCTTTTGCTTTTTTTCTCGCTCAGGTTATCTGTTAGACCTAATTAAGTAAGCTTATCTTCTTCTAGGCTTCAACTACTACTTGAATTTCATTAACTTTCCACATTTATTTATCTCTATCCTCACTTTTATTCCTGAATTTCATTTGTATTGCCAACAATTTGCTGTATGATTTTAACTGTGTCCACCAATTATCTAGACTTTAAAATCAATATTTAGAAACGCAAACATATTTACTGAACCGCTGACACTGACCTTAAATTAAAATAAACACATGCCACAACTGTTCTTTCTCTTACATATATTTTTATATTTTGGGTGTTGCCTCAGCAGCTACTCGTATGATGAAGCAAGAACTGATGGAGTCATCCTTACTTTTTTCTAATATTTCTTATATCTAATTGATCCCTACATCCTGCTAATTGTACCTATTTTGAGTTGTCTCACATAGATCACCTCTTTTCCACTTTCTTATGTGTGAGTGGATGCAAAACCTTCCTAACCAGTTTCTCTGCTTCCTACTATTCCAATTCATTCTTTGTATTATTGTCAGCTTTATATTTCCAAACACTTCCAGGACCTTCAAGAAAAATGTTTGAATTTCATAATAGGTCATAAATTAGTTTAATCTTCTGAACCACAATAGAGAGGAATTTTGTACCAAGCTCCTGGGAATCACTTTATATGACAAACTACATCCACTTGAGTGGACAAACCCTTGGAGCAAGTCAGCCCAAGATGGCACAGCTTTATTAATCCTTAGAGTCCAATACGAGATCCAAGATTTGGAAGGGAGATGGAGGTTTTTCAGAGAAAGTGATGAGTTTACACAAGAAACAAACAACATAGGGGCAAAACCAGATTATAACACCTCCAAAGAACTGAAACAATTCATGTACATTAAATATTTTAAGGTATATTAATATGATTTCAGGGTCTTCAAGTTTCCTTTGGGAGGTGTGTGAAGTAAGAAGAAAAGAAATGAAAATGTAATCATTATAGTGTATACACACCCTTTCTGTCTTTCTGAAACAATAATTCTGCAATAAACCATTGGTGAAAGATGCATTCTCATCTTTGTGAGAACATCTCCCTTTTCTAAAACACTAGCTTGCTGGTGACTAGATCTTTGAAGACATACTTTGGTGCCCCGAAAGATACCTGATTAGCCAGACCAAGGGAACCGAGAAGGAGATTACACCTCTATTTTACTCTTATTAGTCTCTTTGCAGTTTGTACTTTCAGTAGACTACCTGTACTTAAATTTGCTTCTTAAAATATGATGAAGATTGCAGAAAAAATACTATGTCCATATTACAGGTAAAGCAACAAAGGTCCCCAAAAGATGGAGGGACTTGGCCAGGATCACAAAGCTAGTAAAAAACTCATTTACTCTTTTTGTCATTAATATATTAAGTCCTATCAAGTCGGGATTCTAAAACTATGAGAGAATTAATCAAAGTAAATATCTTTATTTTTATTTTTTGAGACAGAGTCTCGCTCTGTAGGTGCAGGCTTGAGTGCAGAGGCACTATCTCGGCTCATGGCAACCTCTGCCTCCCAGTTCAAGTGATTCTCCCACCTCAGCCTCTTGAGTAGCTGGGTTTACAGGCACCGCCACCATGCCCAGCTAATTTTTTGTATGTTTTTAGTAGAGACGGTGTTTCACTATGTTGCCTAGGATGGTCTTGAACTCCTGAGCTCAGGCAATCCAACTGCCTTGGCCTCCCAAAGTGTTAGGATTACAGGTGTGAGCCACTGTGCCCGACCTACTTTTTGTATTTTATTAGAGACGGAGTTTCACCTGTTGGCCAGGCTGGTCTTGAACTCCTAACCTTAAGTGATCCACCTGCTTCAGCCTGCCAAAGTGCTGGGATTACAGACATGAGCCACCACTCCCTGCCTGTTGTTTTTAAAAAAATTTTAAGAGACAGAGTCTTACTCTGTAGCCCAGGCTGAAATGCAGCCCTGCAATCATAGCTCACTGTAACCTCAAACTCCCACCTCAGCCTCTCAAGCAGTTAGGACTGCAGGCATGCACTATGTTGCCCAGGATGGCCTCAAACTCCTGCCCTCAAGTGATTCTCCTATCTCTGCCTCCCAAAGCACTGGGATTACAGGCATGAGACACCGCATCAGGCCCCAGAATAAACATCTGTAAATGAAAGAGTCTGTAATGAAAGAAGCTCTACAAAATCAGTTTAGTGCCATGTTTTCTCTATTAATTTTTTTTTTTTTTTTTTTTTTTTTTTTTTTTTTTTTTTT